TACCCGGTCCGGACCCGGGGACCCGGTAATTTAGCTGTTTTCCCATATACCCGGAATCGGCCATTTTGTTGCAACACTATTAAATCAATATAGATGTGTCTAAGGACCGGCGAATATTCGTTAAAATTCGGATAACGAAGTTTACTGAGAGGCGAAGTTGACTTTGGCTTTGACTTCGGGGCCGAAGATGAAATAGAAATTCGGCTTTCAGTTAAATTCGGTAACAATTTCAAAATTTTATCAGCCTGTTTCTATCGGTTACAACCTTCTTTCAGAGTTGAAAGAGGGTTGTAACCAATATAAGAAATAGCTTCCTCGAATAAAGTGGCCCAATTAACTTTGGGAACATAAATTGGATAAAAAATAAAAAATCATTTATGTTCGTTCAAAAACATTAAGAGTTGTAAAGATTCTATAACTAAAATTTTCATTATTACTTAATTTTTAGATTTTTTATTTTAACGCAAATTGTTTTTTGTAAACGTATACTTTTTTAATAAATTAAAATTTATTCAATTGTTCCATGTTTTTCAAGCTAAAAAATTAATTAGTTTACGATTATACAGCAACCGCTGTGCAGTGGTTATACAGCAACCGCTGTGCAGTGGTTATTGCGCTTGCTTTAGAAGAAATAGGGTTCAAAGCAAGCTCTAGGCATATTTCGCACCATCGGTAAGAAAAAAGGTTTGAACTTTCTAGTTTAATACTATCTTTCTAGTTTAATAATAGTTTAATAAAATTTTCTGATGTACTCCGTGGCAAAACCATTAGGTCTTTGATAAGGAACATTTAAAGCAACAAAAAAAAAAAAAAAAAAAAAATTTATAAAACTTATAAAAGTTCTTAAAAAATTTCTTCTTTAATTAAATTAAATTTATAAACTTTCATATAAACTCGACTTCTCCGGTCCCTAGATGTGTCTAACTTTAAATATTTTTCAAAATATACATTTTTTCAAAATAATTAAAATATATTGCTAAAAAAAAAAGGAAAATGATTTATACGGATGTTTGAAAAACTTCTTTTTTATTGTGAGAGAGAATTTTTAGTAATTAAGCTTTCGAATACTTAATGTTTGTTCATTTTAATTTGAACTTAATTAAACAATTAAAAACACAGCAAATAAGTGTTGTCTAAATTCTTTTTTATTTGTTTTAGATTTTTAAATTTTAATGACACTACAGTCGAGAAGGTCTACCTTTTTTTTATTGCAATTCTCTGTCTCTCTTTATTTTCCTTAACATAACTTTTTATTAATTAGCGCATATTAAGGATTATTTAGCGATAAATTACAAAAAAGTGTATATTATATATAATACCAAGATACTAAAACAAAAATTAGTGAGCCGGAACAGTATTTTTTGAAGTTGATAGAGTTAATTTTAATTTTAAAGCTTTTGATGTTTTTGGTATTAACGACGTCAGACAACTAATTATTCCAAATATTAATTTGGATAACCCAGGAATCAAGAAATTTCTGTCAACATTAGATACTACCATGTAATTTTGTAAGAAATCTATTCTCCAAGATACGGAAGCTCAAAAATAACATAAAACATCAAAGGAAAAATGTTGAAAAAGGCAGAAAGAATCTATGATAAAGCTTTTCCCCAAAGAGACCATTCGGTAATGTTCTAAGAAACTGTTGAGTTTGAGTTAACCAGCAGTTCTTGTGATGAATCGGTTGCGGGGACAGCTGAACTCAGCTCAACCTGGTCTGAAATTAAAAGGCGACATAAAAAGTAAGTTATTATTATTTTTTTTCATATATATATTTGCCGTTAGTTAAAATAACAAGAAGAAATTACAATTAAATAAAAACCTGTAAAGAGCAAGAAGAAGACAAATTGTCTCATTGCCGAGCCCCCGTTACATTTGTGTTTTGTAAACGTTTTAAATATTTACATGCGAAATAAATAATTAATAAAATAGTATATACACATAAAAAACTTTCAAAAAACCTTCAAAATGAAAAATTGAAACTTTTAACAACAATATTTCAACGGAATAATTAAAGTAATAAAATGAAACAAAAGATAGATAACCAAGAAGTTATTAATCCACAAAATTGTGTTATGTTTTATCATAAATAATGATATATAACTTAATATTAACAATAATTATTTTAACAAAATAATTATTGTTAATATTTAGTTATATTTCCTTATATTTCAAACAAAAGCACAACAGAAGTAAACAAAATTAAAAAGATAAAGAAATGTAGTAAAAATGTTAAAGAAATGTAGTAAAAGAGTTAAAGAAATGTAGATTTAAATAATTTTTTGATTCAAACAATTAAACTATTCTCATAATATGTATTTGAAATCTAATATATCGAAGTCCATGTTTATTAAATGCTGTTTTGAATCACCCTTAAAACTTTCCATAGAACAGTTTAATACGAATTCTAGTTTATCATTAAAAATGGAAGAAAAATTTTCCAAACAAAATTCTGGTGAACATATACTTGTTCCATATGAACAAGTATATGTTCACCAGTGTGAGTGTGAGGAATAAGTGTGAGGAATAACATTAGTAATACTAAGATGAATTCATTTATAAATTTGATGATGTCTTTCTGCAGAAGAGACGTTTTAAAGAAAAATCTAAGGTCCAGTTTAGCCCATCAATATCGAGCATCAGTACTGCCCTATATCAGCAATCAAATAAAAGACAAATGAATCTATTAAGTATAGTTTTATAAAAGAATTAATTCATTCACTTTTTAAATCACGGAACAACATATTGCAGCATGTGTCTGCCTGCAGAGAGAGCTAGACCGTACCTTGTCGTGGTTTGCATGCCGCAGGCATGTAGGAGAAGTCATGCTTAGCGACTGTTGGGATTCATTAAATATAGATGCTTCATCAGGTATATATATATATATATATATATATATATATATATATATATATATATATATATATATATATATATATATATATATATATATATATATATATATATATATATATATATATATATATATATATAGTATCGGACAAAACATTTACAATCAACATCGAACAATGCTAAAAAGTGTTTCTAATTTTACATGTCTTAAAAACGAAACGAACTATACTACCACAACAAACAGTTCAGGAGTCTGGAGTCATAGCATGCCATGACATAAGAAATCAGCTGACAGGTGACAGCACACAGGCAGAATTTCGTTGACAAGTGCCATTTTGACAAAATAAGTGCAACTTTTTTGGTTTGTTTCATTTTCTTAAGTCAACGTCACGGAAGTTTTTTAATAATTAAAGGAAGTATCCAGAAGTTTCTAGAAGTTTCAAGAAGCATGCAGAAGCTTCCAAAAGTTTCCAGAAGAAGCATCCAGAAGTATCCAGAAACATTCAGAAGCATCCAGATGCATTCAGAAGTTTCCAAAAGCATTGAAAAGAAGCATCTAGAATCTTCCAGAACAGGTTCACACAGGTTCATTTTGCTATATAAAAGACATGTAAACCGATATGTAATTCAGTCAGTATATGGAAGTCAATCAGTCAGTATTATCAAGACAGTTTATCGAAGTGAGTTTTATCAAAGTGTTTTATCAAAGAACATTAATAAATGAAGTGAAATACAACAAGTGTTTCATTACATCAATACAGTCCACATCCAACCAAGACGTTGTGTTCCACAGAGCATTATTGTATCATCACAAGGTAAATCTAACACGGTAAGCCTTGAGAAGCGTGATTACTTATTTTTATTATTTCAAGTGGAAAAATGGCTCTCGAAAGTCTTGGATTGGAACTAAGAAAGAAAATTATTGGCGGTTACGTAAGTAGAATGTCACAAAAAAGTATTTGTGATAAATATCGCGTGAAAAAATGGACTGTATCAAGACTATGTTCCAAATATCGTTCTACGGGGAAGTTGGCAGCAGATAACAAAGGTAGGAGACCGCGTTCCACCACTTCTAGAGAAGATTTTATGATCGTCAGATCCCTCAAAAAGGATCCCTGGATATCGTTAGTCGAGATACAAAAGCAATTAGAGCTGCCTGTATCGGACCGAACAATCAGACGACGTGCTGTTGAAGCCGAACTGTTTTCTCGACGCCCTACAAAGAAACCGCTGAATTCAATAAAGAACCAGAGGAAAAGACTCCTGTTTGCTACATCTCATATTGACTGGAATGTGCAGAAATGGCGAACTGTCCTGTTCAGTGATGAATCGAAATTCAACATCATTGGGAGCGATGGCATTTGCCGTGTACGTCGACCGGCCGGAAAACGCCTCGATTTACGTTACTGCCATAAGACCGTAAAGAATGATGGAGGCAATCTAATGGTGTGGGGGTGTTTTACATCGAATCGATAGAACAATGGACCGTTTCATGCATAAAAATATCCTGAAAGATGTTATGTTACCTCATGCTGAATGGAATAAGCCAATAAAATGGTTTTTTCAGCAAGACAACGATCCGAAACACTGCAAAAGTAGTCAAGCAGTGGTTTCAAGACAACCACCTATTTGTGATGGATTGGTCGTCTCAACCTCAAAACCAATCTTACTTGGTTGCACTTTTGTCCGATACTGTATATATATATATATATATATATATATATATATATATATATATATATATATATATATATATATATATATATATATATATATACAGTATAATATTGTATATATATTGAAATATTTTATAACCAATATATATATATATATATATATATATATATATATATATATATATATATATATATATATATATATATATATATATATATATATATATATATATATATTGGTTTTGGTTTCTAGATTCTTATTTTTGAATTTTAGTTTCTTTCAAAAAAAAAAAAACTTAGCAAAAAATAAAAAATAATAACATTGTTTGTAAATAAAATTAAGATTGCTTGTAAATTTTAAAATTCCGTTGAATAAAGCTTTCAAATATTATCAAATAATTTCAAATGTTTTAAAAAATTATTTATCTTGTACCTTTATTATCAAAATCATAATAGAAAAATTCTTTTAAATAAAGTAAAAAAGTATTATTATGTATTGATATAAATTTCCTTTTACTATAATGCATTTCAATACCCTGCAGCTTCCCCTTGTTTTCTCGGATCTGACTTTGCATAAATTTTACCATCTTTAACGTAAATCCCTTGAATCACAGAATGTCTTGTTGAATCTTTAAATTTATGTCCTTTTTTTTTCAGACCTTCCATCAGATTAATTGGTATTTTAAAATTTGAGGTTGTTTCTGATTGGATATAGCTCGGCGAAAAGGTGTGATATACCCGAACATCATTGATTGCATCCTCCAAGCTGTAACCAAGCCAAAGAACTTTCATAATGACCTAATAAAGTTTTAAGATTGTTTTGTTTAATTCATTAGACAATTTATTTATTAAATTTAATTTTTTTTAAAAAAAAGGGCATACCCACGCAGTTGATAGTGTTATTTTAGTTCCTCCAGATCCACCCACTATCATTACTACATTTCCTTCGTTGTTAACAATTATTGTCGGACATGTTGATGATAAAGGACGTTTACCTGGTCCGGGAAAATTTGCTGCTGTAGTTGGATAATTCTCAATAACATTGGATTTAATAAAGAAATCAGCGAGTTCGTTGTTAAAGCAAATACCAGACGTCACCGAACAAAACTTCGCACCAAAACTGAAAATGAAAATAGTAATAAGATAAAAATTGTTCTTGAAAAAATGTAGAACAATTATTTGTCAATGGTATTATTAGAAACAGATGAGAAAACAAAACTCTTATTCTAAATAAACTTATTGCATTTTTATTATTCTTAAAATAGTTTAGGTTATAGGTTCGTATAAAGTCAGGGCCGCCCACAGGATTTTTTTGATATTTCAGATATGACACTTTCACGTATTGTGCTAACTCCAAACTTAAGTATGTTCATGCCTATGACAAATGAAGAGGTTTGGAAAAAAATTGATATGGAGGCCTGGGAACAAAAATATCCTAAAATTTTAGCCCCCCGTCCTTGCCCAATGGTGAGGGCAGTTATGTAGTAAAATTTTAAACTTAACTATTTTATATAGAATTTAAATTCATTGACAGATTTTAAATTTCATTCAAAAATATTATAAATTACAAAAGTTATAACCATGAAAACTTTTTGACCTTCTCAAGACGAGGGGGTTGTAAATTTTGCATAGTAATAACTTTTGTAATTTAGAATATTTTGAAATGAAATTTAAAATTGGCCGATGAATTTAGGTGAAATTAGATTAGATGAGTTTAGAATAAAGTAGTGAAGTTTTAAATTTGACTAAATAACTGCCCTCACCTTTGGGCAAGGGGGCTAAAATTTAAGGATATGTTTCTTTTCAGACCTCCATAATCGCAATTTTTCTAAAACCTCCTCATTTGGCATAGGAATGAACATACTTAACTTTGAAGTTAGCACAATACGAATAATGAAATAAATAATAATAATGAAAGTGTCATATCTGAAACATCAAAAAATCCTGTGTGTAGCCCAGTATAAACTGCGTTTCCAATGTTGATTGGCGAATTTGCAAAACATAAATAACTAAGTTACTGCCAAATATAAAAATGATTTAAAAAAAAAGATGGCGAAAACAACAGCTTCTAATCATAATAACTTATTTATGTTTTTGAATTTTAAAAAATTTAAATACATAAAATAAACAAATTTAAATACATAGATAAATTTTACATACAAAGTTCTTTTTTGTTTGAATTCATTTAAATATATGCATACATACGTGAAAAAGCTTTATTCATACTTTACTTACGCATAATTTATTGTATCAGTAGCTGAAACTGCGTTTCCTTCTTTATCAATGACTGAAACATGTGTAGTTCCCGAATCTTGAGTGTTTGTAAAAAACTTACTGTAAAATTTATTTTCTCGTGTTACAGAATCATTAATTTTTAATCGTTTTTGTTCTGCATGATTATCATCCAAAATATCAGCAATTAACTAAAAACAAGTATTTTAAACAATAAACATTTGTTTAGGGGTCGTCCACAAAATAATTCACTCAATGAATAAGGAGGAGGGGTTAGTTTTCTTGTGATGATTTGTTACAGGGGAGGAGTATTTTTTGAAGCAACTTGTTTTAATTTTTTAAGTTTTAAAACTAGAAAAATATTTTTCTTGATTCTTAAAAGAATGTCAAGCAAAACATAAACCTTCAGTTGATGTACGTACACCCCGCTGCGGCATTTTAAATTCTTATTATTCAAATATTTGAATATTACAAAACTAAAATATTCATTATCATTATTTAAACCCAGATCTCCGAATTCGCTTGATTAGCAATTCGCTTGATTGATCCACGACAATACAATAACTCAATAATAATATAAATCAAATATCTTGAGGCGTTATTTGTCCGTTTGATTCATTGTTAATTTACAAAATTTTATATGGATTTATAGAAGTTCAAAAAATAATATCAAATAATAATAATAATGTGTTAAAATGTATTAGCTAAGGTGGTACAACATTAAATTAAAAATAATAATAAGTTACTAGGTTCCATCCGGATTTTATTAACTTTTTTGACGGTTTAAATAAAGATTTAAAAACTATCAATAAAATTTTATCTGTTAAATGTTGTTTTTTTAAGATTGTAGAACACTAATTCTTTTTTTAAGATTGTAGTACACTAATTCTTGCACCAAGATTTTTTATAAAAAAAAAATTAATGATCTTCATCAAAACATGCAATGTCTGTAAAATGAAAACCTTTAGCCAATCAGCATTCTTCATTACACAAAACTAATAATTACTTTCTGTGGCTGATCATTAATGTTTTAAATGAACTACTGGTTTTTCAGGGTTCAATACAAATATTTGAATTTTTCAGGGTTCAATACTAATGTATGAATTTTTCAGGTTCCAGTACAAATGTATGAATTAACTAAACAAGTGAGTCAGTATGAGCAATACAAGTTGGTAGCCATATTCAGTATATTTTAAGATTTTAATGTTTCAAAAATTTTTTTATAATAATATTTAGTATAATGATAATAACAAAGAAAAATAGCAGTGTATTTTAATTTATCTAGAAAAAACAAAAAAAAAAATTGTCAAAACTATGACCATCAAAAAAAATTTTGTTAAAAATTTTGATGTAATTAATTTTCTTTAAAACCTAAAATTATAAAATTTTAGTTAGAAAATATTAGCTTTTTTTAAAATTCTTTGTGATTAGAATCAAAATTTTTTTTATTTGATTAAAAAAGAAAAAAAAAGAAAAGAAATTAAAATATTTTCACTTCTTACCTTGTTAAAAGCAGTCCGATTAACTGAAGGATTTTTATCTGGATCGCCTAAGAAAGGTCGCGTTGCGTAACTGAACTTGAAAGCTTCCACCATACGATGGTAATTTAAAACCTTTTTATCAAATGTTGTAAAATCTTCTTTTGTCCAATTGAAACCTGCAAATTTAAACCTGCACTTCTAAGGTTTTGCTTTCCCAAAACAAAAATAATTTAACGCAATGAGTTAATTTATAAGTATTTTTTTAAACTTGTTTGTTAAACAAATTATTGTGAGCAATGATAACCTCCACCCTTACCAGTGCATACGTCGACTGACAAAGTGATGAGTGTAAATAAATGTACACACATTGAATGACATGTTAAGATAGGCGTAACTAAATGTAAGGTAACTTAGGAATTAGGTAACTTAGGATATAGAAGTAAGGTAACTTGGGACCCTAACCCTAAATCTAACCTTAAATAAACTTAAGATTAGATTTAAGATTAGGGTCCCTAATAAACTTAAAGTCAGATTTAGGATCCAAGAGCTGTTAGAGACTAATGGGTGTTAGAATAGCAAAGAGATAAATGTTTTTAATTTCATTAGCAATAAAAACCATGCTGTTTAAGTTTGTTTTTTAAAGTTTAATTTGAAACTGTTTATAATTATAACTGATTGTTAAAAAATAAGGAAACACTAATAAAATAGTTAAAAACAGTGGCGGATTGATGTTTAATTTTTGATTGATATTTTTAAATTTGATTTATGTTCAACGGATTGAAACATTTTTATTACATCACCATTACATCACCTCAATGATTCTGTTATTTGAAAACGTATATACATTAGACATGTTATTAAAAACGAGAATTAAGAAATTTGCTTTCTTAATGGCTTATAAAAATTTTTTTAGAGGTCTAAGGTTCAAAACCAAGAGGTCTGAGGTGTTAAAAATCGTTTTTTTGCAAAATGATACTTTGAACGCTTTTTTTGCAAAATTCTATCAAAGCCGACGAAAAGCTATTTTAGATATTTGTGAGACTCCAGCTTTTTTATGTTATTTAAAAGAGTTTAAGAAAAAACTATGGTTAATATGTTTTACAAACTGAAAATATTCTACTTTATTGATTATATCCACCAACTAAAAATTATCAAGAACAACTAGATAAAAAAATCCAGAGTTACAATTTAAAAGTAAACAAATTATGATTGCTAAGAAAAGTGACTTTAAATGTGTCCTTCATTTTGAGAAAGATCAGCTATTTGATAAAGCTAAATTTTGTAGCAATACACCTAGTGAGCATAATCCACCTAGTGGGCATAACTCGTCGTGGAGGACCTTTGTAAGACGTTTGACGGACGTTCCCCGGACGATGCATGCCCACTGGGCAAAACTCATTGACAAAAAGTCTTACAAAACGAGTTCTGAATCAGTTTGCTCTGTGTGTTCCAGACCCCAAAAGTAAAAAAATATCTTAAAAAAAAGTTAATTAAAAAAAATACCCATAGAAACAGCATGCATTTGAATTTAAAAAATTGTAATATTTATGCCGACATAAACCAGGCTGTCTAATAAAAAAAAAATTTTCAAAAGTTTTCATTTTTTAAGTACTAGTAAAATATTCTTTTTTAAATACAAATTTTTAAGTACAACGCACATTTTAAAAAGACGAAGTAAACAGTTTGCCATTAGTAAGAAGCCCCTAAGAGTTCAATTCCAGGACTATTTGTTTTTAAATTATATCAATGATATGTATAGGTCGTCATCTATAGTATTTTTAATAATGTATGCTGAAATTTTTTTTTTACAAACATAATCATTTAAAATCAATGTTTGCCGCAATGAATACTGAACTGAAAAACGTTAACTTATGATTAACCTTTTAACAGTCCGGTGTTTTTTTTTAAATACAGTTGCTATTAGTCCAGCTTTTTTCTTTTTTGAAGTGCTCTCTAAATGCCTCGTGTTTTTAAAATCATTGTGTTTTTTTACTAATAGAATAAATAAAGCTTTTTTACTATTTTTACCATTATTAAACACTATAAAATGTTATTATTCAAGTTTAAGAATAAGGTAGGTATGGGTATTAAGGCCCACCTAACAGACTTTTGGTCATCAAGGCCTTAAAAATTAAGTTTGAAAAAATATTTTTGATTGCTGCTTAAGATTAATCATTTTTTGATGTAAAAATGTTATTGAGAAAATAATTATAATAAAAGTTATTCATGTTTTTTTAACAGGCCTTTTTTTCACTTTAACAAGTGGACCTTATTACCCCCAAAGGAGTAATAAAGCCCATGTAAAAAATACAAAAAATAAAAACAAAAAAAAAAAAAACAGAAAAAAGTTATGAAACATTCTTTTAATGCATAGTTTATCTCACATTTATAAAATAATAAGTAATCTTGCATATTTATATACTTCAAAAGAACCAATTTTTTATGCAACAGTGAATTACAACAGAAAATTTAAAAATTCAATAAAAAAATGTTACAAAGAAAATCATTGATTTACAGATTGGACATACTAACTCTTCCTCTTCTTCAAAATCATACCCCATGGTCACGCCTGATGGTCACCATACTTTACATTTACAACATTGTCGCATATTTTCCACAGACATTTGCTGGCACAACGAACAAAACCAATCATTCACATCCACGCTTACAGACTTACTTTTCTTTATATTTGCTTTTTATTTGCCCTTATTCTTTTTATTAACAGCTTTAGAGGTAGAAGATTTTTTTTCGTCAGGGCTTTAACAACATAGTTAAAACTTTTTTTGCGGCCGACCATAGCCATGTTTTTCTTTTTAGCAGGACTCAGCATTATATCAGTGAAACTTGCATTAAGATTCATTTCGGGTTGATCGACTGGAGCTGTTGAGGGACTTGGTTGATCAACTGGAGCTGTTGAGGGACTTGATTGATCGACTGAAACCATATTTAGATATCTAGATATGTAATTTTTTGTGGGCTTTATTACACGCTTTGGACCTGCCATGTTTATCGATAAAGTATTCTTTTGTTTCAACACGTGCATAAATATTACATGTTGAGTAATGATAACGAATAAATACTTAATGCAAATAAATGAACTTGAAAAAAATAGAAGCATTATAAAATATTTTAAAATTTTTAAATATGTACGTACGTACATACCTTACGTACCTTACGTACCTTACGTACCTTACGTACCTTACGTACCTTACGTACCTTACGTACCTTACGTACCTTACGTACCTTACGTACCTTACGTACCTTACGTACCTTACGTACCTTACGTACCTTACGTACCTTACGTACCTTACGTACGTATCTTAAAAGTTAGTTTTGAGCAACTACTGACGGAACCAACGAAGTAATCTTGCTTTGTCGAACAAACGATAAAGAAAGACTTTTTTGTTGCCAATAATAAAACCAGATAAAAAGTTTCACATTTTATATTTTCCCCTAGTTTGGATTAGTGGGCCTTATTACCTGCTGGGCCTTAATACTCATACCCACCGTATATAAATTATACTACATAAACACAAAATTTTAAAAATTTATTTAGTAATATTGACTTTTTGTATGATAATTAGAAAAGCAAGGAGCTGCACAAATGATTCTACAGTTTAGAATCTACGCATTCATATCTTGAATCTTTTCGAATGTTGTGTTTGTAACATACCACACACCTTCTTTGAGAATTAATCTTTTATTATTATTTTCAATAATCATTCATCAAATATATCTTTTCATTATTGATTCATCAAATGTATAATTTTCTATCATTTCGTGAGTAAATATTTACTTGATAATTATTTTTTCACTGAAAGAACTTGCTTATTTGTCATATTTAAAGTTAAAGTGAACACGTGTAAAAGTGAATTAATGAAATAAAAGCTCTTTAATTATGTAGTAATAAATTTTGTGACGCGTAATTACTACGGAACTAGAAAAAATATATAAAGAGATGCATAAAACCGTAATATTACGGCATGGACATTTGGAAACCACTTGTTTGCGTAATAATACGGCATGGACTGCTAACGGGTTAAATTTTTTTTCATAAATCTGGTCAATCAATAAATCTTTCATTAAAAATTCCGGAGTTGCTCATTAATCATCAAACAATAAAACGAGAAAAATATACAAAGTTTCTTGCTTTAGAAATAGATAAAAAATTTTCATATTATAGATATATTATAGGCTAAATTAAATCAAAAATATTGTCTGCAATAGACAGACGATATTTTTCTCAATCACTTCTTGTTATGATATTCTAAATATCTCAGTTCTTCGCAAAGTTATGATATATTAAATATCTTAATTTTTCACAAACGTAAACGTGTCAAAAAAAAAATCTTTTATCATAACTTTTAAGTACGTTTAAGACACTAAACAATCTAAGGTTTGAATTTACTAAGTTTACTTTGATTAACAGTTATCGTTAAAAAAAAAGAAACATTTAATAGTTTGGTTTTTTATAAATATTAGAGTTCGCACTGTCGGCGCAGATCTGCGCAGACATTGTAATTTGTCTGCGCAGACGTCGGCGCTGACAAAATTTATTATTACTGCTAAAATATACTAAGGTTTTTCTCTCGGCGCAGATTTGCGCAGATATTATTATTACTGACGATTTATTAAAATCAACAAAAAAAGTTTTAAACTTAAAAAATGTTTTAAGTAATCTTTTAACTTTATTATAAATTCAGTGATTAGTAACAATAGGAGTTTTCAAAGATTCTTACAGTAATAAAAATATATAATGCTGGCGCCTATTCGGTGATTTCTTGACATTCAATTTCATTGAGAATTGCACCTTCTTCAAGAATGTAATCAGTCTTGTCATTTGTGTCCATCAGCACGCTATTGGTATACAAGAATACTAGCTTTTCAACTCTTTCATTCGTAAGACGATTTCTTAGTCGCGAGTGAATAAATCGAAAGGTCGACCAAGCTCTTTCTGCTGTAGCCGATGAGCAGATCATTTTGTTAATAGGCTTAGCAATTTCATAAAGAGCAGGATATTTATCGCGACCGATAATGTTCCAATAATTTCACGAGTTCATCTTGAATATTGTTTCCTTTCTTCTCTCAGGCAGCACAGAAATTTCTCCTATATAAGCAATCAATTCATTTTCAGCAGTGGCAGCAATTTCAGGTTTGATCTTTTTGGCGAATTCAACTGTAGCAGTGATAAAATTGGTTTTATCTTCATTCAAATATAAACCTTCTGCAGCATTTTTGGGCGTTAATATGAAAGCAATTCCAATACATAATGTAAAGAGAAAATCGAGGCGAGATTGCACTTTTTGTTGTATGTCTTTATCGTTTATATATAAATGGTACATTTGACCAAAGTAATCATACGCGAAAGACAATGGAGCTGTATCACTTTCTTGCTTTCCGATCGCGTTGGAAGGAAATTCAATGCTTTTGACAAGCTTAGAGAGACGGTCTCAAAATGGGTTAGATTTTATCAACGCCATAACAGCAGCAGATGTATTCTTTGGTTGAATTTTCTTCAGTAATAAACTTTCTTCGTCTACCAACTTAATAAGAACGTATTTTAATAGCTGGAGACTGCTCATTGATTTATAATAACTAAACCATCGTGTAGATACAGGCATGGACAATTAAAGAGAAATATTTGCTGCAATTCGTCTTTCACAATGTCTTGAAACGTCTTTCTGCAAACTTTGCTTTCACAATGTGATGATTTTTCACATATTTGATGATTTTCTCTGCATCTTTGACTGTTTTTGTGGCCTCAATTGTAGAAACTATGTCCTTCACAAGCAAGTTGACTCCATGAGCTCCGCATCCGCTAGCCGAGATGTGTGGATGTTTCTCCTCGATGATCCTCCACGGTGATTTCATTACAGGAGCGTTGTCGCTTATGAAACTGGTAAATTTTTGTGAGCTAATCTTTTCAATAACTTGTAAGATTGCTGCAGCAACTGCAGATGAATTTTGAATGATTCCGGATGTATTTATCGAGGTGTAAAAAAAAGGCTTCTGCTCGGGCGCTTTAACACAAAAATTCACTATGTGATCGCCTCTTATGTTCGTCCAGCCGTCAGACATCAATGTTAAGTTTGTTTCAGAATTCAAAATTTCATTTACATAAATAGAACATTTTGTGTATTGTTTGTCGAGCAGAGATCCTGATAAAGCTTTAGCTTTCGGGATGACAGATGCGTACGATGGATTGAGCGACTTCACAAAATCCTTAAAGACCTCCGATTCCACTAAACGAAATGATATACATGTACGGTAAAAGAAATTTGCAAGCTTTCTGTCGATATCATTTTTGAGCTCTTCATTAATCGGTGGATGTACACGCTGCATCGGTGAATCAGACGTAGACGGAAGTTGCTGAGAGTCATTGATCAGATGTGACGATTCATAATTACGCTTAAAAAACAATCTTTTTTCCTCGACACTGGCGTTTTGACATGTTGATCTTTTATGCGCTGCAAGGCGTTCCTTCGACCATTGAACAGTTTTGTTACATGCTAAACAAGTGCATCTTTGACAAGATTTGTCAAATAATTCGAAATTTTAATGTTTTCCATTTTAAATATTTGTTATGACAAAAATACGCGATTTCTTTATTTTAAATCACTTTAAATTGTAGTAAGAAACACTTTAAAAAGTTTATATCGATGGATTATATGTAGCTCTAACAAAAAAGAAACAGACAAGTAATGAAAACTCGTAAAAAGTAGATAATTACCTACTTTTTACGAGTTTTTCAAAATGTCTGAAATTATTTTATTAAATATTGTCTGAAATTAAATTTAAAAAAATAATTAGTTTCAGGCATTTGATTCAGATAATTAAATTATCTGAATTATCAGATAATTAAATTATCTGAATCAAATGTCTGAAGTAATTTTTTTATCATAATTTAAATTTTTCGTATCCTTTAAACTGTCTTCGAAGACGTCGGCGCCGATGTCTGCGCAGATATGCGCATATTATGTCTGCGCAGATCTGCGCAGATGCATTTGCCGAACCCTAAAGGCCGTTCTCCATTCAGAACTTTTTGCGCTTTGGAGAAGCGGAAAAGGGCTTAATAAATATATTTACACGGTATATGTATTACTGAAAACAAGCATTAAGAAATTTACTTTCCTGTTAGTTTATACAAATTTTTTTCTGCGAGATTTCATTTCCAGCGGAAACAGAGCATTTGTTGGTTGTTTTAAGAACATTATATGGACTTGTGACGTCTGTTCCCGCTGGGTTAAAGCAAAATGATTTATTGATAATTCAAAGTCAATCCTCTCTGCAAGCTCACAGTCGATTAAAATTAATATCATTCCAAAAATATATTGTTGATCACAGACAATTTTTAATCTTTAGTCTACTGAAACTATTCTCATCATAAAAAGATGTAAAGGGAAGAGTCAAGTCGATTTTGTAGAGTATAGACAAGTTAGGAAAACATGATGTCATTTATATCTATATTAAGAATGGATGTACGTCTGTCATTTGAAGTTCAGTCGACATTACTAGAGATATTAATGCATACTCATCTTTGAATGGAGGGCCGGTGCGAGTAGGTTTTAAGTGGGGAGTGGGTGCCATACAAGTATTTGCCGAAAAACATTTTAACACATAAATACAAATTTAAATTTCTCCTTTAAAAAAAAAGTTTACCGTCATTGTCAACTTTGTCAAATTTCAAAGTTTTGTTGAAAATCTGTAGTTATTGTAGTTTTGTTTGTAAGCTCTTTCCCCTCTCCCCCATCTTTCGCCACGCCCAATGCTAAAGTATCACCATGTTTAAATTCCAATATTTATGAATATATTTTAGTTGCTTTTATGAATATATTTTATTCCTTAATTTTTGAATATATTTTATTTACTTTCATACTTAAGTATGAAAGTAAATAAAATGTATTCATAATGTAATAGTGGAAAACAGGGCGTTTGTCACTCAGACGTTTGGCAAATATTTTTTAAAAAAAGAGAGTTGTTTGCTTTACATGATTTTGACTTTTAAAAGTCAATGATTTTTAAATAAATTTAAAATCTATTAATACTTTTTTGCCCTTTTTTAAGATAATATTAAATAACTTTGTTTTTTTTTACGTCGTTTTTTAGTCGTTGGTTAGAAAAAAAACAGCTAACACGCCTTGATATCAAAAGTTGCAAACACTAAATATTTCATGAAACGCCACTCACGCAACGTCAAAAAAATATTTCATTTTTTTATAATTTTCAAGTATTAGTTACAAAACGTAATAAAATTTTAAATAGTAATTTATGCTTTTATAAACATAAAAAATAGTCTCTGCTTAAATGGATCCAAAATTAAATTGATTTAGTTAGTGTACCAGATGTCCAGTTTTAGCGAAGGAAAACACAGTAAAAATATTTATTTTTAATAAAAATAAATATTTTTAATTAATACAGTGTCGACGCTATAAAAATTTTATAGCGTCGGCACTGTATTCTTGAACGTAAAAGCCAGACATCTGGCAACTCTAATTTAGTAGGATTTCAAAACCTTAATCAAGTTGTGAAACAAAAATTGTTATAAAACTTTTAACAAAAATTTAATTCTTTTTTAAAAAAATTTTAAAAAACATTGAGACCCATCATACCCCTTTTAATGTCAATATAATCATCAATCATGGATTATCATATGCAAAAATCAATCCAAACTATAATATAACTAAGGCCATTAAGACATTAAAACCATAAAGTTCTGATACAAACAAAAAATTTAAAAACTACTTGTTTACTAAACCTTTTAGAATCTTTAAAATAGACAGCAACACGGTGCCTCCACCTGGTAAAGGTGTTGTGTACAAGGTGTAATTTCCAAGCTTCATTTCAATTGGAGTTTCTTCTTTAACTTCATAGGATTCTAGATCACTAAGCGTCATATTTCCATTATGTGCAACTACATCATTTATAAACCCTTGCGAGAGCTCACCAGTATAAAGTGCGTCTGGATCGTCACGAACCTTGCGAAGTGTCTCTGCTAATTTTTTAAGAACAATAATCTCACCTTCTTTTTTCCACAAACCATTTTTGTTTATGAGAATTTCTCTAAAAATCAAAAATTATAACGAGTATGTGTATTTTTAATATATAAAAGTATTTCTGATATTCTCTCTAAATAAATTTAATTTATTCAAAATTTAAATATATACAAACCAAAAAGCCTGAACTTTAAGTAAATTTTCTTGAAAAAAAGATTATAAAAAGGTAATATAACAGTTAATAACAATTAATAATATATTAATAATAATGTATAACCAAACCTATATCCTGGATCCAATTCTAAGTATTTTTTAGTTTCTATATCAATCATATTTTTATACATATGATTACCCATTGAAAAACCTTTTTCTGCTAACTCAATTGAAGGTGTTACAAGTCTTTTCCAGTTTAATTTTCCAAATTTTTGGTGTGCTTTGTGGAGACCACGAAGTTCACCTGGTACACCAACGGCTAAACCACCTATAATAAAATGTTATATAATTGAAATTATTAGTATAAATAATATAGTTAGAATAATAAATATGATAAAAGGTTATAGACAAATAATAACTCATTTTGCTACTTAAAATTTATAAGTATTTTTAATAAATATTTTTAGCCATAAATATTTTTCAAATAACGCAACATAACTACGTTTTTCAAAGTAACATTTTTGTCAAAAGCGTCAGCGCGAAGTGATCCAGGTGCTGCTTCTCTGTAGTTGTAGACAAAACTTTGTTTAAGCTTTCGATTGTATACACTCATAAAACCTCCACCACTTATACCAGTAGAATGTAGGTTAACTATTCCAGTACACAACAAACTGGCAATAGCAGCATCAACTGCGTGGCCTCCTTCAATAAGAACATCTCGACCAATCTATAATGTTAAAATATATGCAAATATAAATATCTTTTTATTTTAAAAGTTAACTTTCATAAGCGATAGTTATGAGATTACCTGCCATATAGATAAAAAAAGTACCTAATAACCTTTTTTAATAAAAACCTTTTTTAATAAAAACGATTTTATATTTCAAAATGAAATCCCTTTAGTTCAAAGACCTTTAAACCTTTCTTGATACGTCTATATCAAAATCTCTCGTTAGCTAAAAACTCGGATAAGTTGAAAGTTCTTTATTTTAAATGATTTTATTCTAATCGGATGTCTCAATTTTCATTTAAAAATAAAAGGCATTTCTTTTTATAAATTCTCCATTTCAATATAAACAGCTTGAGTAGTACTTCGGTACGCAAATGTTGGTCAATAACGGACGCTACTTTGGATTATTCTTAATGACTATTTGTGGCTATTCCTATGCTAAGCCAACAACATCTTCAGATATAAGAGTATTGTATAAAAATATATAGCATGAAAATAAATAAAATTAATAATAAAAAAAATATGTATTATTATTTTGCAATTTTCCAATAACATTTAAATGTGTTGTGATTTTTGTTTATTCACAAAATTTACAAAGTTTAAAACTAAAGTTAATTCACAAAAATTAAATTTAAATGAATTGGGTCAAAGATAAATTAGTAGAAAAGTAGTAAATTGCGTGCCGAATCTCCTCCTAGAGTTACAAATTCGTTGGCAAAACAGTACTTTGATCAAATTCTAGGTCGAAAAAAAAAAGCGCAATAAAAAAGTTTTTACAAAAAAAAAAGTAGTTACAGCCGCTAACATCCCAAGTTTTTTATGCTCTCTGCAAGCTTGTAGGTAGATCACTTTAATATGGTGATTATATATAAAATATAGCTACAACCTGGAAAGTACTTAAATCGATTCAAAAAACGTGTTGTTAATAAGTTTATAAAGAGCAAACTTAAAGTTATAAAAAGCAAACTTAAAGTTATAAAAAGAAAAGTTAAAGTTATAAAAAGCAAACTTAAAGTTATAAAAAGCAAAAATAAAGTTATAAAAAGCAAAGTTGAAGTTTTAAAAAAGCAATGTTAAAGTTATAAAAAGCAAAGCTAAAGTTATAAAAAGCAAAGTTAAAGTACTATTTGCTAATGTGCCAAACGTTTTCGTTTTGACGCTTTCAAATTTTTTATACTAGGTAATTTAACTAACTTAAACTTCAACTTTTCAATTTAACAAAAGAATTTTTCATTAAGCATAACTATGCTTATAAGTTACCATTAGAAATAATTGTACAAAAGTTTACAAATATTATGGTAAAGTTAAATATTTTGCACTTGCTCATAAGTTTTAAAGAAATGTGATTTTCTTAAATTTTCAAAAAATTTAGCGATTTCTAAGGAAGGTATATCAATCTTCTTATCTAAATTTTTACTCTTTTCTCGCAACAAAAGTTTTAAGTTGTTAAAAATGTGCTAAAAACTAATTAGAGTTTTCAATAATAAAACCAGGTCCCAAGCTTGCACACTGCATTGAGTCAACGTTGAAACAATGTCAAAAGCATTGATACAACGTAGTATGTTATCTGAGTTAATGTGAAAATATCAATTTTACCTTAAATTGCCATTTGTTAGGTGTTAAGTTTTAAAAACTCGTGTTAAAACATGTTTGTTGTGATCGCAAAAACATGTTTTTGTAATCTCGTGATTACAAAAGTTTAAAGTTTGGTGTCAGTTAAAGCTTTATAATAGCAAGAATTGGAAATACATCGACAACTGTGGTCCTAATGAATGACATTTAACTTTTGTATTTTATGATAAATTTCGAAAAATTCTTCTTATAAAATGTAAAGAGGAATTAAAAATATACCATGTCTTTTATGCTTTAGTCTTACTTGTAAAGTTGCTAGTTTTAAAACAATTGGATCAAGGGTCAACTAAACCTTGTTCTTTTCCTTTAGGAAGACTTTCAGTAGCAGCGCAAAGTATTATTATAAAAAAAAATTAAAAAAAAATGTGAACCTCTGAACATTTTAAGGCGTCTGTCGCAACGGCGCCGTTTTCATAGTAATTCTTTTTCTGATGGATTTTCTTTTTTTTTCTTAACCCAAATTCAAGACCTAAGATAATTGCAAAAACAACAATGACCAAAAACGCGAAGACAGGAAGAAATCTGAAAATCAATGTTCAAAATAAAAAATACAACACTAATTACATAATTAATTACAAACTAGTTAAGTATGGTTTATGGCAATAAATACAATGATATAAAGCATGTATTACATCTTAACTTTTACCATGATTTTATGTAAACTAATCTCAAAAAGGTTAAATATAAAATGTTTAGCTATTCGTAAAATCAAAAGAACCGATAATCCAAATAATTGTTGAATAAAATAAAAACGTGAATTTAAATATTTGCTAAATAACGCAGTAATAATACTTAAGAAGATCGTTAGCTTAATGTTTCCAATCTTAACCGACAGTCAAAAATGTTGGTTTAAATTTCCTAAATTATTGTAGTTCTCTGTATTGTTATTTAAAAAAAAAAGATATTTGTATAATGTTTTAGTAGTCAACTTTTGAGAAAAGCAATTTAGAATTGTTTAAATAAATTTTTAAATTTTCTTGCGTTTAAAATTGTAATCAAATACTGATATTATCGAGTAAACTTTAATAGATTGTACAAGATCATGTTTATAAATACGAGATCTGTTTATAAATACAAGATCATGCTTATAAATACGATAAGGCGACAAATTGAAGCAAAGGTCAAATATTGACATCGCATTATTTTTCTGTTCACCTATGTTTATATAAGACTTTGAGTGCGTTATTTGAACAGTTTGTTTTACTGAAAATGTTTTTACTTTAAATATTTGAGTACACAATTACTTATGATTGTGATTACATACTACACGATTGTTTATAGTAATGTCACTTTCTTTTTGAAAATTAAAAATTAATGATAAAACTTTTTTCATTTTATATTAGTGATATAACTGTTTCATTTTATATTTGTGATATAACTGTTTCATTTTATATTTGTGGTATAACTGTTTTATTTTATATTTGTGGTATAACCGTTTTATTTTAAGTATATATTTTTAATAAACTGTTTCATAATTATTCTTTTTACAACATTTGTTTATTTATGGGATTTCGAAGTGGAGCACAATCGCCAGTTTCTAAAAAAAATTCTTTATAAAAAAAATTGAGACAGGTCAGAGCCTCCCTGGCCCCCTGAGAAAAATAGCACACGGTTTGGCTAAGTAGCTTAATAAAGATAAATGTTTACAGTTTATTTAAATAAATATCGAATAATAAAAATAATCTCTAGTAGAAGAACAATAAACGTTTTTAGATCAGGGCCGTCTTAATTAACGTTTTTAGATCAGGGCCGTCTTAATTAACGTTTTTAGATCAGGGCCGTCTTAATTAACGTTTTTAGATCAGGGCTGTCTTAGGAAATTCGGCGAACTTGGGCTACTAAAAATAATATGCCCCTCTTCCAAAGAAAATACACAGAGTGGCAAAGTGGAGCGGGGTGTCCGGAAAAATTATACAAAAGTGTCAGAACTAGAAAAAATCTATTTATTACTTTCATACTAAACAAAAATAAAATTTAATTTCATCAAAAAACATTTAAGAACAAATATAAACCATAATCTAAACAAATATAACTTATATATTTATTTTCCTCGCTTTTTCTTTGGCAAACTGATCAATAATATCACTAGTATTTAAAATAAATCTCTCTCGATGGATAAAATACTTAAATCATTGAGTTTCCTCTGTCCCAAAGAAGATCGTAAGTAATTTTTTATTCTTTTGATTGCTGAAAATGATCTTTCGCTACTGAAGTTTGTAGTGGCAATACTTAACAATATGCTCAGTGCGGTGGTTACGTTTGAATAAGTAGATTCAATTTTTAACTCGATTATTGTTTTTAAACTTAGTTCTGGGGTAGATATATTTTTGGTATTTACAAGTAAATTCACATGTATTAAATGTAGGCATTCTTCAATAAAGTTATTTTCTAAATCAGTCTGATATATTTCGCACAACTTTGCAGTATTATCTCTAATTATGTCTTCATTTATATTTTTCAAGTTAACCAGAAACCCGAATGTTGAATAAATGTTAACATATGCGCATTTTCTCTTTTATACTTCTGATAGAATTTTATCAATAATAGCATATTATGTGTTTATGCAGAATTCGTCGTTTGCATCAAATTGTACTTCTTCCGACGTATTTTCGTCGAACTGTCTTTTTTTTTTTTTTAATTTCAAATCTTGATGTTGACGCAGCAAAAAAGTTATATAAGTTTTGTAGAAATAAAAATAATTTATTTGCTTGTACGCAGCATTCAGCTGCCGATTGTCCAACTAAATTTTAGGAAGGAGCAGCACAGGGCACGAAAATGGCAAGATTGTTTCTAATTTTAATACGTGCTTGGAGGCACGTATTAAAATTAGAATAATTAAATAGAATATTATATACCCGACATATTAGAGGCATTATCATAAGATTGTCCTCTCACAATCTTCCAAACTAATATCTAAATCAGATAATAGCTTTAAAATACAGTCTTGCATTCCTGCGTTCTTATGGCCAGTATTTTCTAAAAATTTTAAAAACCTTTCAACGGGTGTTTAATTTTTATTGACATATCTTACTACAATGGTTAATTGATCCATATGGGAAATATTGGGCGTCGAATCTACTGTAATGGAGTAATATTTTGCGTCTTTTAATTCCGTGATAATAAAACATCTAACATTTCTGCCCAATATTTTTAAAAACTCATTGCAAATATTTGCAGATAAATAAGAAATATTCCTAGTAGGGGAAAGCGGGGCAACATGGCGAAAGTTTTGAAAGCCCTGAGTTATTGTAAAACTATCAGCAAAAATTAAACTTATGCGTATAAAATTGCGTTAATAATATTTCAAAAAGCCAATCGGTGTTTTGAAATACAAGATGCAAATACAGTTTCGTTTTCATCCAATTTTAAGATTTTTTGTTGAGTTGTTATATGAAAACCCATCTTGCCCCATTCGCCATGTTGCCCCGCTTTCCCCTACCTTTATTTGCAAAATTAAAAATATGTAGTTGCAAAATGGGGTCTAATTTTGATAAAAGTTCTAAGCACCCTAAATAATTCCCATTATGTTTATCACCATTAGTTTGATTTTCTCCCCTAAAAGCCAAACCCTTTGAACTTAAAAATTTTATGACTTCAACGATACGTTTTAAAATACTTTTCCAGTAATTCGTATTTTTTTTTATTGATATAATAGAATAATTTTTGAAATATTTCCATTTTTCTGTAGATCTGTTCACAAGTATACATGTGTTTTCTTTATGAAGGGCTGAATTTTCATAGTCCGAATGTTCATTGTTGAAGCCTGCAGTAAATGGATTATTGACACTATCAAATAGTTTGCAAGGGATGCAATAAACATTTCCTGAAGTATTTGATTACAAAAGCCAGTTTCTTTTTTGTTGTTTTCCGTTTAGTAAATGTCTATAAAATATTATTTTTGTAGCATACCTGCTCTGTGATTTATAGAATACTTTAGATGCAGTAAAGTCTAGTTTTTGAATATCTACCTCTACGTTAGATATGTTCTTCATTACATCTATAATTTCATCTTCGCTTAATCTTCCCCATAATGCAGGACCAGCATAATTAACACTCAACATTTTATTAAGTTCATCTTCACCTAAATATTCTCTTTCTTGATCTTCTGGCTGTGGCTGTTGCAGGTTTTGTTGCGCCTGGTCTTCTTGTTGTTGTGTCTGGTCCTCTTCTTTTTCTTTCACGTTTGATTGCTGGGCATTATTGTCATACTGTTGTTGATTTTTTCTTTTCCTTCTTTGTGTTGCTCACCTTGTGTAACACTCATAGAAAGTGTTTTGCCTTTTTTAAAGAAATTTTTTAATGCAGGAATTTTTTCCAGAAAAGCTTTTTGCCTCGCTTCTTTCTCTTTATTTAATTTACGGTTGGCGAAACCTGATAACTTTTTTCGTTTATGTTCCATGGTTAGTCTTCCTACATAATAGAAAAAAAATTGTTTTTATAATTAACGCTACGAAGTAAAGGTTGCTTTACCAGTTATTGTACAAATTAAAAATGTAATGAACTATTAAAACATTACACCGAAATTAAATTTATAATTTAAATGTGTGATTTAAGTAATTAACTTATATGAAATATATTGAATCACTAGATTTAATAAAAGTTCAATATTTTTCAAATGGGCAGTTGAAAAATATTACATATTAATTCGTTTATTTGTTAAATATTTTGTTAAACTAAGTTATAATATTGTTAAAAATATATATTTATCACTATTAATTAATTTTTAGCTAACATATATGTAAAAAGAAACGCACTTACCTAAGGAATATAATAATATAATTTGATAATTTCCACTTAATTTTTAACTTTTAATTCACCTTATTCAGTCGACAATACAAAAATACTAAAATCATATCAATTTTATTTTTGTCGTCTAATCTTTATTAAGGTACGCATCAGTGACCCATTGTACATTCCTATCTTTTATTAGGATTATTAAAATAATACAATTTACGTTTAGATCAATGATATATTAAAAATAAGTTATTCTTAATATATCATTGGTTTAGATAAATAAATACGTCCGGACGGCGAGTATACGTAGGTGGTCTGTTTACATTTAAGCCGTCCATCGAAGTTTAAGCACTGATCTCTATAATAAGTTATTATAGAGATCAGTGAGTTTAAGACATAAATTATAGTAATATAATTTATGTCTTAAACTTTTAACTGATTTTTATTTTACTTCCAAATGTGCCGTTTTTCATTTGGAAGAAATAAAAATCAGTTAAATATTTTAAGAAAATGTTTAAATTTAAAAATATGTGAAAACTAATAAAAAGAAAAATGAATTTTTATAAAACTAATAAATAAATGACTAATAACTAAATAACTAATAAAAACAAAAATATATAGATATCGCGAATAAAAGTTGCCGCCCCCAAAATGCTTGCGCCTTAGAGCAATAGCCCATTTAGCCCTGTGGTTAGGGCGGCCCTGTTTTAGATCTAATTTACTTAAATAAATATTGAAAAATAAAAACAATTTATATTTGTAATAGCAGAAGTAAAAGTAGGTATGTTATATATTTAAAGTAGGAGGTATGTTATATATTTAAAGAAGGAGATATGTTATATATTTAAAGTAGGAGATATGCTATATATTTAAAGAAGGAGATATGTTATATATTTAAAGAAGGAGATATGTTATATATTTAAAGAAGGAGATATGTTATATATTTAAAAAAGGAGATATGTTATATACTTAAAGAAGGAGATATGTTATATATTTAAAGAAGGAGGTATGTTATATATTTAAAGAAGGAGGTATGTTATATATTTAAAGTAGGAGATATGTTATATATTTAAAGAAGGAGATATGTTATATATTTAAAAAAGGAGATATGTTATATATTTAAAGAAGGAGATATGTTACATATTTAAAGAAGTAGATATGTTATATATTTAAAGTAGGAGGTACGTTATATATTTAATATGTAAGCAGTATAAAGGTAAATATAGAAAAAACGTTATAAATGAAGTTATAAGTGTAGAATGTTTTGGTGGAAGTTGTAAGTGTAGATTGTTTTGTTAGAAGTTATAAGTGTAGAATTTTTTGGTGGAAGTACTTTGTAATATAAGTATATACTCTAATTAATATAACATGCACGATATCAACACTAAAGTATACATATACAAAGGAGTGGATTTCTTTTATTTTTTAGAACTATTTCAAATAAAATTATACTTAACAATACTTTTGAGGGGTTAGCTTAAAAATCAACTTAGAAAAATATTTTCAAAATTAACAGCTTGATTACTTACAAACAACAAATTTATAAATAACTCTTTAAAATCGATTTTTGTTGTAAAAAATGAAACAAAAGCTATAAACGTGATTTAAAACAGTCGTTATTAAATTACACTTATCGTATACGTGTAATGATTACGTCCGAAGTGCGATAAACTCTTTTGAAAGTGTGTATGTGGTTGTTGTCTTTGTTTCTTTGTTTAGCTTAAATTAAAAAGTTTTTATGTCCTCGTAAAAAGATATTCGTAAAAGTTCGTCTAAAAAAAGCTTGTAAATAATAAAGATGTAAGTTATTTTTAATAGATATGGTAATGTATATTGGTAAGTTACTGTTTAAAAATCTTTTTTTTATAAGAAAATTGTTTTATGAATTGTAATTATTTCAAGTAAATTTACCTTATTGTAAAATGTCATAGCTAGAGTTAATGTTGCCTGGTGAGCGAACTTTAAATTTTTAACTGTTGTAGAAATAAGAACCTAACTATCAGCACTCTTATCTAACTCTTTTTCAAGTCTTAGAATAAAAAAACGTCGTTAACTATTTACGCCAGAAGATGTCCGTTCTATATAAATTGTTGTATACAGCTATATATCCAATATAGCTGTATACAACAATGGCTATATTGCTATATTTACCAATACAAAGTTTATTATTAAATACGAGTTTAATCAACATTTGTTTTACTAAGAAAAAGTTTAACATAGTTTTGCAGCAATCCCAGTGTAAGCACATGACGTATTTTAAACATATAATAAGCAAACTAATACGTTTAATACATTTTTTAGACGTCTAAAACGCGTCTTGTGCCCGTTAGGATCGTGATAGGTTTGCGAATAACAATTATGCAAACACATTTTTTACTTTTAACTCTTTGTTACATTTAAAGAACAGCATTCTTTGTTACATTTAAAAAACAACGTTCTGCTATATTTTATAAAATTTACTAAAAAATACATTATAAAATTTGCCAAACGCAAGGATTAGTAGAAGAACTCTAGGGCTCGTAATCGACTGTATGATGATGCTGTCGAGAACCGCTAAAAATAATACAATTTCTCGTGGTAAAAATACTTGAAGGTAGTCATTAACTATTATGTTATATATACATATATATATATATATATATATATATATATATATATATATATATATATATATATATATATATATATATATATATATATATATATATATATATATATATATATATATATATATATATATATATATATATATATATATATATATATATATATATATATATATATATATATATTCTTATTGATTTTGTTGAATTCTGCGCATAAACTTGGTCTATTTTCCAAAATATAGTTTTATTGTCACAGCACTTGCTACTTACAGTTTTATTTATAATTGGCCTTAACGTAAGGCAAAAATTGAAGTCTTTGGTTTTGAAAATGTTTGAGTAGGCCTTGGCCTTGAAACTCTTAATCTTGGCCTTAACATTAAAACTCTTGGCCTTAAGCTTGGCTTTGCTACTTTTGGCCTTGTTAACAACTTTGCATATATATATATATATATATATATATATATATATATATATATATATATATATATATATATATATATATATATATATATATATATATATATATATATATGTATATATATATATATATATATATATATATATATATATATATATATATATATATATATATATATATATATATATATATATATATATATGCAGTATTTTTATAGTATAAAGATAAGTGAGCTCATATATAAAAATAAGTGAGTTCAAAAAATAATTACTAATAAAAACTTTTTATAATAGTTTCAGCATTTTCTATAAATGTGTGAAAATTTACAGTAGTTAAGACATTTATGACTTCCTGTAATTTAATTTTGATATAAATTGAAATTTTATTAATTTGATTATTCATTTCTGATGAGCGATTTTCTACTAATTTATTATTGCTCTGTTCTTTTAAAAACATTGAGCACTCTATTTTGTAGAGTACATTTTTCATATAAAAGTACGATTTTTTGTGGTAAATATATTTGAAGGTAGTAATTAACTATTATGTTATATATATATATATATATATATATATATATATATATATATATATATATATATATATATATATATATATATATATATTAAATCCTACTATTTTACAAAGATTTCTTTTTCAGACTTCCTTCTACTTTATAGATAGGCTTCTATTTTACTTATCGACCAAGTTTTATATATCAAATTAAAAAAAATGACTTTTCTCATATTAGTTTTTAATTTTCTTAAAAAGATCATTGCTGACCTCCTGGTAAATAATAAGATTGTAAGAGAAACAAAAGTATTATAAAGACCCCTTTTTTTAAAATAAACTTTTTGTAAACCAAACCCTCATTAATTCATATAAAGAACGTCCATATATAAAAAAGGTGAAATCCATCAGTTCGGAGTGACGTCACTCCGTTTTAAAAAGTTTTTTTTTATAATTAGCCATCTTGAATCGGAGGATAATAAAAAATTGGTAACGGTTTGTTGAGATTTTTGAAAAAAAAATGCTAGAAAGTTGTTGTGCAGTAGGTTGCACTAACAAAATAAAAAAAATCAAGAACCTAAAGATGAATAAAGTAAAGATGATTTCCTTACTTCTAGTTCCTAAAGATAAAGTATTTGCAAGGAAGTGGGTGAATGCGATAAATCATACTGTAGATAGTAGTGCATGTAATGGTTTACTAATTTTTTTTAAATTTATCTTTGTTCGGCACACTTTATTACTGGTGGGTTACTTTTAATTTACATCCTAAATTAGTATTGGTAAATAAATATTGAAATATCAGTACTTTTTATACTCTAAAACAACAAAAATTATATGTAGACAACAATGTTATATGTAGACAACAATATTAGGCATCATTTTGTTTAAACAGAGGTTTAAAACTATGTAAAAATGTAAAATTATCTAAAATACTTATTTTATTCAGACATATTTCAGCTGTTTATTTTGATTGTAATTGTAGAACATAATGTTATTTTTAAATAACTTTTTCTTGACTTGGCGTATATAAAAGAATAGTTTGTTTTCCTCCAACTTAATATGATTTCGCGATATAGTCACGTGATTCCGACTGAATGGATAGAATTTAAAAATTGACATTAAGCATAAACATTTTTTTTTTAAACTTTGACACAAAATACTTTATGAAGTTTAGATATTAAATCATATTTATCTTTTTAATTAGTTTAAACAATTTCTGAATAATGTTGTTTATTAAAAATACAAAGATTTATGCCAAAATTTTACTCATGTATACTCATCTATTTTTTTTTTTTTTTTTTTTACTTATGTATACCTGACCTTATGTTTTTTTTTACTCATGTATACCTTTCCTTACTTCATGTATACTCATGTATACCTTGATAATAGAATATAATAGTTAGAAAGCGTAGAGTAACTTTCACTCTAACAGATTGGTCGAAAATGTACACAAGGAATAATATATTTTGTACCTCGTTATACAAGTAGTTAAAGTGTTAAAATAAAGTTTGACCATATAATACATCAAACAAAATAATATGACTAACAAAACTTTTTTTTTAGATTTGACAAGGCGGTCTGTTTCCTCTACCTGTCAGTTTTTCTGCACGCACCACGTTAATATATAAATTATGCATCAAGCTTAATACAAAAAGTTTGGTTTTCGGTATAAAGCTGAAATTCAGAATACTAACTTTTTATTTTAAATGTTTTTGTTAAAAAAATACTAAATATGCTCAACACTATTTTATTCGTCTTCACGGCCTTTTATAACGTATTGTGTTTTAAACCACAACAAAAAAGACAACTAATTATAGAACAATGAATGTGCAATCAATTAAGGATTTATTAATCGTTACGCTTTCGACAATTTATAAAGGAATTGTGAATATTTTACAAGTGCAGTGCTAATGCTAAGTATTGTAATTCAATTGCATAAATATCTTATTTTAAAAAATTAATCTACTATTTTTTACTTAGTTTTTCAGAAGTATTTATTAAGATTCTGTAAAATAATAAACGTTTAAAAAATGTTTAAAACAATATTTAAGAGATTGAAAAATTAGAAATTTACCTGATGGCATAAAAAATGTCTGAAAAATTGAGAATTGTTGAAATAATTGAAAAAAATGAAGAATAAAAAAAATGCTCTAAATTATTTACAAAAAGAATAGTTTTTTTTGAATTGCTTGAATAATAAGCAAATAAAATATTTTTTCTCGCACTAAAATACTGTTAATCACCTGAGTATTGAATCAAGAATTAAATAAATTTTATAACTTGATGTATTCTTTATTGATCTTAAATTTACTTTCAGCTTGTTTTGAGAATCTTTATAAAAAAAACTTTTATAGTTTGTGCATTTTATAACACGAAACTGTGAAAATTACTAATTATTTTTATTAAACTTATGTATGATTTATAGCTTTTCATGTCTGAATCAAACAGAATTTCTTGCGGCACGTTAAAATCACTTAATACGCATTCGTTCCTGAAAGGTAATATAGTACTTCAAATTATATTTTAAATATATCTGCTTTTGATTTTAAGAATATATGTGGTATAAATAATAAACTGTGTTTATATAAATATACAGACCCTTTTATTTTACTGCACATTATTATAGAAAAACTTTAGGCAGATTAAGATTCGTATGAAAAAAAAAAGTTTAACAAAAAATTTAACTTTTTTGTTAAATTCATTTTAAAATCCAAACTTTACTTTTTAATGTTTCATTACGATTAACTTTGAAAAAATTTTAAAAATCTTATTGCCTTATTTTTACTGCCTAATAATGTGTAAAATAAAGTTTTTCTTGTCAAAATCTGGAAGTCAATGCATAGACTTATTTACGTCTAATCCAACATGTTGGACTGGCTGTACAGACACTTGTTTTTTTTGTTTTTAAATACACACACACACACACACACACACACACACACACACACACACACACACACACACACACACACACACACACACATATATATATGTATATATATATATATATATATATATATATATATATATATATATATATATATATATATACATATATATATATATATATATATATATATATATATATATATATATATATATATATATATATATATATATATATATATATATATATATATATATATATATATATATATATATATATATATATATATATATATATATATATATATATATATATATATTATTGTAATGTTCAATAGATCGCCTAAATGCTATTCCTAAAGTAACATACACCTCAGTTGGCTGCATTCAAAGAAACGACAAATATATTCGTCTAAAGACATTAGTCCATTATGTCAGTCTGGATCTTTACTACAATTTGTTTCATAACCCACAGTATGGCGGTTTTCCTACCAAAAAAACGGAACTTTATAAATCGTTAAAACAATTCGAAAATCAACTTCGCCATTCTCAAAAGACTTCTATTACAGAAAAAGACTGGGTAAAGTTATTTCCAGAAAATAAAAAATCAAATTCTCAAGAATTTACTATTGAACTATTTCAATTTTTAATTAAGAACTGCGTTTCGCGATTTCCTGAGATTTCAAAAGATGAAAACAATGTCAAGTTTGAAGCAAACGCTTTTATGATATTAATAGATAAGCTTCACGATACAGTATGTAATCCTAAACTTGTTCAAACTGTAAATAGCTCACACGATACCTTTGTTTCTTTGTGGAATATTCTTCACGAAATTCTTCTGAAGTTAAATTACGACGTCAACCTCGTTAAAGATATTGAAAGCGGTGACTTGGATAAGTTAACAAGTTGTCGTCACTCTCTTCTCACTATACAACTGCAGGTGCTTTTAGACGAATGTAAGGAACTCGACAAATCAACGAGTATGAATGGTCTGGCTGTCTCAAAACTGATTTCAGATTATAATGAAACAATATCTAAGCAGGAGAATGGCTTCTCTGATGATCAGTTTTCTATTAAAGCAAAATCTCTTCAAGATAGTATAGCTTTAGTGATGCAGCTTTTATCATTAATAAAATCGAGCATCTCTGAATTAACATCAGACATTCCGTTTTGGAAGGGAAAAAATATAGAAGGGGATATTATAATTTATGAAGAAAAACTTTCTAAAATAAGAAACCAAATTAATGAACAAACAAGAGAACTTGGCGAAATTTTCCATTCAACTTCTTTAGATATTGTTAAGATTAAGGAGAGGCTTCACTTTCAAGAAGATAACATTCATATTGTTCACCGACAACGGTCAACAAGTTCTCAATCATTAAAGGACACAGTAAGTTAACAAATGAGACTACAGAACACAGTTAATTCTTTAATTAAATAATAAACTTTTCAGTAACTGGTGTTGTTAAAAGTTGTACCTGTAAATAGATAAATGTTTTTACTGAAATGTTAAACTATATAAATAAATTTTTAAGTTTCTTTTTCGACTATATGCAAATGCGCCTTAATAATTGCTCGTTTTTATAGATTTTTTTCTAACATATGTTTTATATTGTATAAATATTCTCAAAATGTTATAAATAATATTATTATGTTATCATTGGATATATTATGAGTATAATACTATAAAACGTGTAGTAATTTATACAAGAAAATCTCAAATATAACGATACCAATTTTAAAGATTTTTAAATGCTTCAATTTTTAACGTGTAAATAAAACCTTCAGAAAAACTATATTCTTGTATAAATATTTATTTAAAATTTCTTCAATAAATTATTAAGGAGTAATTCCACGTCAAAACGACCAATTTTTATTTTTTAATGCAATCCTATATCCTCGGATTTTCTTTATACTTTTACCATAGTTAGTACATTATAAAATGAGATAAATCCCAAAATTTCAAGGTCTAACTCCCACGGTTTGTAAGAAATTGTTGTTTTAATTTTGGCTACTATTATTGTTTTGGTCATTTTCCGCCATTTTTAAATTAATATCTCTTTTTATAAAACCAAGTCTTAAAACGTGTGAATTCTAAAAATAAGTGACTTAATTACTCCTCACCTAGAGATTAACTTATTAAAAATAAGTTAATCTCTAGGTGAGGAGTTTAAATATATAAATAAAAACTCATTTTATAATTAAAAAGTACCAAAATATCAATTATAAATATTAAATTAATGGACACCTGTCCCAGTAAAAATTTTAAGTGTGCGGTAAATTTTTTAAGCTTAAAATTTCAAACTAGATCATCGTATGTGAAAAAATTGTTTTTGCCAAGTTCATAGTTTAAAATTCAATGAAAAATATTACAAAAAAAGCAAGTATAGCATATTTTGCTTATCTTAGTATTCAAAATAAATAAAATTGGTGCATACTTGAATTGATAAACAATTTTTTATATTATATGTATTATAAAATTATTGATTTACAAATATATACTTATTAATTTTGTTAAAATCTTTTTTTGAAAGTTCATATTTGTCTGATATTATTGTTGGCACACTTATTAATGTTATTTCATTGGTGATTGGTATCCAATAATAATCATCCCTTTTCGGCCAGAAAAACTGTTCAGATGCAAATTTAGGGGCCCCCAAAAATTTTAGAGGACCTTTTTTTTTTTTTTAGTAATTTTTAGGCTCTGGCCCATCGGGCCCCAAGAAGTCTTAATCCGCCACTGCCAAAACGAGTCATATGTACATGCGTAATATTCGTGCTTCTGCATTAGCTCAAAATTTATTAAACTTAAATTTTGATAACTTGATTTTTTGGTTATATTAATAGATTTTGCATTTATATCGTTATTAGTTTTCTTAAATAACATAGATGTTTTCAAAACTGGTATGCAATGATGAAATCCTCAAGTTCCTGGTATTGTTTTTTTCTTCTCAAATCGTTTATTTTGTGTAGCTCTATTATTAACTATAGTTTTTTTATCAATTTTAAAGAACTTTATTGTGAGCATTTTTTGACTGCAAAATTCAAACATTGCATCGATTGTTAGTATTTGATTTTCCTTTAGATGTTGCAAGTTTTCTCTTGCTGTTGTTCGTTTTACTGCACCGCCTATTGCATCACAAGAGGATTTGCCATGGCTGGTTGCAAAAAATATCCATTCAGCATCCAATAAAAAATCTTCTGAGTGATGGCATAGATTTAGAAATATTTTACAATTTTTATATTGTCCTCCACATCCATTAGAAAAGTAATATAATTTGAAAATTAAAGGTAGGGTTTCTTTGATATAATTACATAAAATAGTCTGAATTTGATAGACAAAACATGTATCGTTTATCGTATCATTAGACATAAAACAAAATGATTCGTGTAAAATAATGCCATTTACTTTATAGTACAAAACCACTGGGTAAAAGGTGCATCCAATGATAACTTTACACCAGTTGATAAAATTTACTTTACACCAATTGATAAAATTTACACCAATGATAACTTTAGATCTTATCTTGCATAATAAATTCATAATTTTCTGAAAAGTCACAAATCGCGTTACACTCTTTTTCATTAAGTTCGAGTTTTAAATGTTTAAGAAAGTTTGTTTGGCATTTAGAAATATACGAGTGAGCTGTTAGTTCATCAATACACTTCACTACTACCCAGTGGGCACGGACGTAAAAAAGACGTCTTTTAAACGTCTTATACTCGTTTTGGACGTCTTTTGAACGTCTTGAACGTTTTGGTCGACTTTTGAACGTTTAAAAGACGTCTTTTTTAGGTCCGGTGCCCACTGGGTAACTTTATATAAGTTTCAACGGTTTTAGTTTGTGTGATAAGTTGGATCCTTGTTTTAATCAGTATCTTGCCACTGATTAAAACTTAACTCGTCATCAAAATCAAGTTCTTCAAGCTCTTTAAGAAGAAATAGCTGTAAGGCATCTGTTTCTGGGCAACTCAAATATCTTTGAACCATACACTCATTTTTTGAAATGTCACAAACCACCTAAAAAACAAGTTTATTTATTATAATTTACTATTAAATATTCTATTATAATCATTAAATAATTATAATAAATAGTTAAAATCATTATAATAATAATTAAAAGTAAAAGTAAAAGTAATATACAATTTAATTTCCGTATAAACTGATATCTTTTTTTAGATTTCCGTATAAACTGATATCTTTTTTTAGATTTCCGTATAAACTGATATCTTTTTTTAGATTTCCGTATAAACTGATATCTTTTTTTAGATTCTAAGTAAAAAAATTCTGTCTGCGTCCTAAGTGGTATGTAAGTGGACTGCGTCCACTTACATACCACTTAGGACGCAGACAGCAAAATTTAGAAATTCCAAGATTAATCCCCAGATTTACAACTTTAAAGTGGCTGTAAAATTCTTTCAGGTTACACAGTAGCAATTGTTTTGTACATGTATTCTGTTATTTTTTCCCTTTCCAACACTTACATAATCTTTTTTACCTGACATTATTCGTGAGTATTCATGATCTTCATAAAAACTTTAAACAATGGAGACAACATTAAGTGGAACACATTTTCGGATTTTGTTCAATGGGAGAGAAAGTATGCCACTCTCGTGTTTCATATGACGTGCTGTTCGAATAGCATTCACACTAACTTCAAAGTAGTTAGAAGTATAATCTCTAGACCAAGCTTCAGGAGTTAAAGTGAAAATTTTTAATTTATTTTTATAGTCAGAAGCATTTATCTGTTCTTTCATCAGTAGTGTCAATTTAACCAGATCAAATGCTTTAATTTGCGTTGTTTTTGAATAAGACGCAGTAGTATTATCTATAAAATGTGACTTACTTGTTTCATAAAGGGCTGCTAAATCTTCACCAATCTTTTTTATTGATTTTTTATATTCTTTCATTGCAGAAGTAACACGTTGATATAAAGCAACACCATATAAATTAATAGGAGATTCTTCTAAAATTTCCAGTGATAAATTAATATGAGTAAATGGTTCATCTTCTTTTGTCAATACTTCATCTACTTCATTTTCACTACTGATAAAATTGCCTTTGAAATACAGCTAGTACATAATTTCTGCCCAGGTAAAACTCTTAAACCTAATGAACCAAAGTGTCAAAGCCAACATTAAAGATATTGTAAATTTATCTAAAAAAAAAAGGATATTTAAGATGCGTGTTGTATACTTTTACAGATAGTATTTATATATTTGAAATAAAATTACCTTTTTTTTTTATGCACTTTATAAACATCACAACAATCGCCAATTTTCTTTTCAAATCTTTTTCCAATGTAGTGAAAACGGTGATTACAAATTCTTTATAAGCACGCAACTAGGATGCCCATAACATGTTTTGTCGAGTATCAGTGTCTAGGTTATGTAGTAAAAAAATCTATTTCTAGAATATGAGGTTTTACGGCATTCTGACTTCAAAACTTTACCAATAACAAATGAAATCATTTTGATAATGAATTACAAAATTAATTGAATTACAAAATGTTATACTCGCAAATTTTACAAGTATTAATTACATAATTTATGTTGGATTAATTGCAACATTTAAATTAGATGAATATGTCTGAATTCAGCAATTAAACTTTAATAATTGGAAAAGACAAGGAAACAAAATGGAAATAAAAAATACATTAAAAAAATCTAAACTTAAGAACCACTTAGATTTAGATAGGAATTTTCCCTAAAGTACTATGGTGAAAATTGAAAAAAAAATCAGAGAATTTAGGGTTGCATAACCTGGTTGTTTTGACAGGGAATTACTCTTTGGTAAAGAAATAAAAACTACATGTTTAATTGCAGGGCTGGATCCACAATTTTTTGGTGTTTGAGTTAAATAACTTCCAGGTAAGTTCTATACTCCAAACCTTTGAATGTTCATACTTATTTCATTTAAGGATGTTTTGCAAAAAATTGCGCTGCAAAGTGCCTGGGAACAAAAATACCCTAAAAAGAAGAAATCAGTTGCCCAAACGTGAGGGAAATCAATTTTTTGAAATATGAAATCTAATATCCTAAACTAGATAGAAATTTTTTAAGTTAACAAAATTTCATTGAAAAATAATGATTTGTTTAGAAATTATACCTAATTAAAATTTACAACCCCCTCGTTTTAAGGGGGTTGTAAACTTTACATGGTTATAACTTTTGAATGCCAAATGATTTTTTGACGAAGTTTTAAAAATATGTACAATTTTCAGCCTTATTAAAGCAAGTAATTTTTCTGTTTGGAAAAATTAATTCCCCTTACGTTTGGGTGGATGATTTCTAGGGTATTTTTTGTTCCCAGACTTTTTGCAGCGCAATTTTTTGCAAAACATTCTTAAATAACATAAGTATGAACATTCAAAGGTTGGGAGTATAGAACTTACCTGGAAGTTATTTAACTTAAACACCAAAAAATTATGCAATTATT